GGGGGGGCAGGGAGAGGGGCACAGAGAGAGAGAGAGAGCCCTTTCTTCTCCCCTTTGATTTATACCCACTTTCCTTGGGTCCATCCCCTAGGTCAACCCACAGACCTACGTATCCCATGTACAGGGAGGGGTAAGGTGTTTCACGGGATGATGTCACTAGCATGATCACGACAGCCCTCGTTAGCATATTGAGGGGTGTTAACTTTAATATGCGTTTTGTGGACAATGAAGCAAAGTTCATTCACCGGACACATGGCCCTTGAAATCTGCCCAGGTGTCCCAGGGCAGAGCTGTCCTGTCTCCACAGGGCTCTCTACCCCAGATACATCGGGCAGCCTTATCAGCTTCGGCCTCCACAGAAAGCACCCTGTGACTCATGGTTTTGTCTTGGGAGTGTTTGAGGCAAATCTTCAATCAGCCTCAACTTTTGCTTTCCCAGACTGTTTGTCTTAGTTTTTCACAGGCCTGGTTGCTCGGCTCTCACACTGGAAGAACGGTTTTTGGAAAGAGACATCTTCCCCTCTCCATTTCTCTTACAACCCACGCAAGGGTTGGCATGGCTTGTTCCATCCCACCCCTCAGTTCTTCTGGGTAGGAAATGTAATTTCCTCCTATTTTAAAATTTGCAGCCCTGTATTTGGGTGTTTTTCTTTAGTAAAACCTTGGCTTCCTTGATTTAACTGACTACTGGATGAAAGAAATCAATGTCTAACCTACTCCTAAAAAGATCATAAACAGCTGCTCATGAGAAGTTGGGAGGACATACTGGAGCCTGAAACACCCTGAAATTGCCCTGTTTCTCATGGTCAACTTAATCATCTGTATTGGCCAATGGCAACAGAGGGATGTAGATGCATTTTGGTCTACCTAATGCTTGTGTTTTGTGACAAAATTGGAGAGGAAGGGAAAAGTTGGTACTGTTGGGTAATAGTCTAATATACCAGTGTCACTGTAGCATGTTTGAAGTTGTATTTATCTGTTTATCAGGGTAATGGGAAGCAGAAAGGATATTCACTCAGGATCCCTTTCAACAGTGAGGCGTGAGGAATGCTCTTTCCCTGCTGTGCCAGAAGGGCAGGGAAAGAGCAGCATGCATCCGTTTGGACCAGCCAGTGCGTTCCATGTTTTGAGGATGCTGCCACAGCTGACTCTGACTCTTTCCCTCTTTGCAGTAGGTGGCCATTTCCATCCTTGTGTGGTCTTAAGGAATAAAAGGTAGATCCTAGATTATTCTGCAGCTGAGAAGGGAAATAAAGGACATATTCCACTGGAAGGGAAACAGTGTGCTCTTGCACAAAGTAGAGCAACCTCAGAGTTGCACGCTGGAGCTACACAAACCTGCAGGCTTTGGACTGATTACTGCATCACTCCCCACATTATTTTCAGTGGTGTCAGTCCTGATTAACAATGCCAGTTTTCAAGATTATGATTTTTGCATTGTTGAACTAGACTTTTACAGTGCACTTCACAGAGGCAGGATTAGACCCTAAAGTAGGGACAGGCTGAAAAAGAAAGCCTTTTCTCTTTGTTGACATCTCTTTCCTTTTTTTTTTTTTTTTCCCCTGGCAAATGGTAGTTTCTCTTCTGTCTGATATATAGCTTTTTATTAGGGTGGCTATATCTTAATACATTACACTATAAATTACACCCAGCTATATATGATAGATTTATGCTATAAATTGTAGTCGATTTTTAAAAGAACCCATCATGGTTGACAGCTGGGGCATCTGATTTATTTCTAGTGCCAGATTACTGTAACAGTCATCAAAACATTGTCTTGCACAGATAGTTTATCAGGATATTTCTCAGAATATTCTATAACAAATACTTGCCCTTAAGAGGCTGTTTCCTGCCTATGGGTCTACAAACCATGTTTACAAAGTAGGGCAGGTAAGGGAAATACGTATGGTCTGTAATGAGAATTTCACACAGAATGTGTGGAGGGAAGATTGCAATGTCCAGCCGGTCCTATTTGTTGTAGGAAAAAGGGAAGAACTGTGACACATATAATCTAAGTGGCTGAGATAAAAGTGACAAAAAAGCAAGCTTTTCTTTTGAAAAAAATAGACTTGATTACTGCAAGCTTGTAAAAAGAATCCAAGACATGAGTAATGACTGAATATTATTAAAAGCCCTCTCCAAAATCTGCAAGAGAATGACCAGATTTTCTCATGCATGAAGTGTAAAAAGAAAATACTGGAATTATTAAACAAAATAATCATTTAGCATGGAAACTGTGTGGGGATGAGCAGTGGGCAATCAGACTCCTCAGTCACAGGCAAGGAGCATCAGGTAGCCAGTCTTCCTCTACAATTACAACCCCCTCTATAGCTAAAGGGATGAGAAGCCCTTAACCCACACAGACATCCAGAGTCCAGAAAGTACCTACCCCCACACAAGTTAGGGCAGGTACTCTGGATTCTGACCATTTCTGGAGCAGCAGTTCTCTCACTGTTAGCTATAGAGCGGGCTAAGAGAAGTCACCTGGCTAGAGGCATGTGGCTAAAGCTTAGTTTGCTGAGTAGCCCTCCAAGGAGCATATTTTCTGTGATGGTATTGCATCTGGATTTTTGACAGTCATGGACCATATCATGGCAGTTCTGTCCCAGAACAGAATATTTACGTATTTATCAGTCTGATGTGCGGGTGTCTACCTGGTCAGTAGCTTTATCTGTACTGCAACTTGACTTGGCATCACAGGACAAAAGTGAACACTGAGTTTATACATTCAAACGGGGGGGGTGTTGCAATTGTGATAAATGTAATGTATAAATTAAGAAAAATAATCATGTCTACATCAGGGTATTTCTGGTGGGTTTTGTGTCCCAGAAAAGGTGTCTCAGTTGCCTTTTTCCCATGCAGTGTTCTCCTCATGTAATAGTCAAATGAGTTCTGGGCCATGTTCACCAGTGTGCTCTAGGCTACTGCAATTACACGGAAACAAAGCTGGAGTGGCATTGATCAGTCAGATCTAAATTTGATGACTGTTCTAATTACTGTATTTGGGAATCCTTAATGAAAGAAGAGTACATGTATATATGTGTGAGAGAAGAACAGATGGTTCCTATGGGGTGCTACACCGTGGGAAAGTGCTAAGTCTATTAATTATTTATAGAACAATTAGTGTTCAGCTTATCCCATAAGTTCAGATCTGAGCCCAGATCCAGACTTTCCCTAATGGGTGCATTTAGCCTTTTGGTTCAAGCCCTACTCTACTCTAACAGAAGTGACCTAGTCCAGCCACAGAGCAATACACGGAGCCATGCCTGTGTTTTGTTCTTTTTTTTATTGTGTGAAGCTGGAGCTGATCCAGAGAAGAGATTCCAGACTGACTGTGGGGTGAGTGAGAACTAATTAAATTGTCTTTATCAAATGCCTCAATAGAATATGAAATAATATTAAATAATCCTGAAACACTTGAATTTATTAAAATTATTCAAAACAACAATTTTCTGTTATTTGCTAGTACAACGTAGTTTGCAATTTCTTTGATAATACAGATATCATTCAAGCTGGCAAAATTGTTCAAATTCTTAAACTAATAGGCCTGTTATAAATGTTTTCAGGAACTCCTAGAAAATAAATGTTCATTAATATTTCAAAAAGGCTGAATTTACAGCACTGCATTGCACAGCCATGTCTGAAATGAATTCTCATAACAAGAAATTAAAAAAAACAGGTGCCCAGTTTAAAAGAAAGTAAGATATAATTGAGGTGGTGTCTGCTATTAAACCCCCTGGTAGTAACTATTCGTAGAAGAAAACAGGTGAAATCAGATTTAATCTAGTATAGGCTGTCCACATAGAGTGACAGAGAAATAAATATGTCTTCTTAATGATGTATTTTAAATAAATGCTATTAACATTGGTTTTAATTAGGTTATATAAATGATACTGTCCATGAGAAACTAGCACTGGAACGTCAGTGTGTGATAACAGTCTTAGCAGATGAAGGTCTGAATTTGAAAAACACTTCACTCAGATGTAGAAAAGTTTCAAAACATAATCAGTCTATTTTAACATATTCCAAATACATTCAACTAAACGACTAATATTTCAGACACTTGCAGAACCTGAGCAGAGCACAATCAAACTTATGTAAGTCTATCTAAGAGTTTTAATAACTGCTAACTCTGAGCAGCAAATCCAAACATGAGTTCAGTCAGGCAATAAGTACACACTAAGGTCCGTGGGACTTCAGCAGAAAAAAAGTCTCACTGCTGCCAATGTGTAAGGAAGAGGGCAGGGTGACAGCCAGAGTCAAAGCAATTAACAGCAGCAATTAATGCCAGCAGAGTGTGTGCACCACTGGGTACATCCCTGGCTATTGGCAAAAAGCACATGTGAGTCCCTCATCAGTCAAACTGAACGGTACGGTAACACTTCTTGTTCTGCGCCTGCCTGTCGGAGCCGGTGTCAGCTGACACATGAGGCTGCACCCAGTCACCCCGGATCCCAGACAGGCCCACAGCAACCAGGGACCAGCCCCCCTGGCCCAAGAAGAAAGGTAGTGAGGACACGAAGGACACGTATGCTAGACTCCTTTGTTAGAGGAGAGGCTTTGAATATTCTTTTTGCAAGGGCTCTTAGCCTCTGCAACTGCTTCTCTTCAGCACAGCTAAATTTTCTAGTTTTTCAGGCATGCTACAGAAGGCAGCTGCTGAGAACACTTCTTAGCACAGTAATGGACTCAAAACGTGCTTTGGAAGTGACATAAGCAAAATTTCTGCCAGGGATTCATCTTCCTTAACTTTTAATCCTATGGCATGCAATCTCACTTCAGCTTCATTCTTCTCCACGTGGATTCTGAAGGAAATTTGACTTAGCTGAGCTGTGATGCTCTGTTTTCAGATGGTTAAAGTGAAGTAAGAGAAATCCTGCCATTTTAGTGCTACAAAGGGACTGCTACAACAGACTGTCTTGTCAGTCACGAGGAGAAAAATTTCCAAGAACATGAACTCATTTGCAGGGAAATGGAACACTGAGATAAAACAAGGGCTCCTCACAGCACAGGTGACCCACGCTGAGCAGATGTCCATTGCTGTCTGAGCTGGCATAACAGATCCTTTAACGTTGATAAGGGACTAAATCAGATAGGTCAGAAGCCAGGAGGTAGAATGGAAAAGGACAGAGCATGAAAAACATAAAAAGACATCTTCACATGTGTTTTAAGTGCACAGTCAACTTATTTATTGGCTTCAAATTATGATAGTACTTCAGAACGTTATCAGTGAATGAAAAAACAATCTCAGACTGTGAAAGAAGCTTTCATTTTTATCTGAACATTTCCCTGCTCACATATTTATTTATCATGAATAATTTACCAAAGTTAACAGCTGATCATAGACCTCTGTTTGCAAAGCCACAGCCCGCAGTTATAGTCCACAACAAAAGATAAAGAGTATACAGCTGCAAGGGTAAAATAGCAAAGTTATGTTTAAACTAAGAAAAGCATTTCTCTCACAATACCTATTACAGCATCAGCATACACAAATCCCAGTGGTAGAATAATGCATCAGCCCCACGGACCCAGTAATACGCACAGAAATATAATAGTAAAAAGCATCCTGAGCCACCATTTTTAAGGAAGGCATCATGCATCCTTCCAGCCATTACACTTTCTATTACTTAACATGCTGCGTATTAAACTCTGTCCACTTCAAAAGCAGGAAAAATGAGACATGCCCCTGTTGTGCCTTAACTGGTTATACACTACAGGAAACAATGACAGTGACATGAACAGACTTAGGGAAAGGTCTAAATTAATTCTTGAAGTGCAATGTAATGCAAATATATGCAAGTTGGAAAAAAAAAAAAAAAAAGAGAGCCAATGGGAATTTAGCTTTTGATTCCTGAGTGTTCTCATTTATTTATGGCATTAATAAAGGGCAAATATACCTCCTGATTTGTGCCATGCACTGATATTGACTCTTACCTGTTTCTCATGGAAAAGAAATAATTTTCAGACAAGTTGTCTCTGTCTTCATAAGTCCACTCACTACTGTGCTTTCCATGTGAAATCACCGTCAAAATTATTCTTGTAACTCCCTGGCTATGGTATTCAGTTAAATAATAGAGCAGCTCCCTGTCTTAGGGAAAGTGTAACTGTGAATATGTAATATGTATGAAAACCACTAAACTTTACCGATTTGATTCAACCTCATAAACTGACAACACCTTTCCTAGGCTCTCACTGAATCAGCTGGAATTTAAGGGCCCTCAAGTAGGTTTAGTTTCTCCCTCCTGGACAAAGGAATTCTAGTTTGTCGTTACCCAGCACTGCCTGAAAGGAACTTAAGAAGTTTCTCTATTGACAGTGTCACAAAATGTTACTTCAGAGCTAGGAACAACTGTCTCTATGATAGCTTATTATAACAATTTCCTTTACCTGATGTTGATAAAGAATTTGATCCAAATACTCATTTTGAATCACTAAATGATAGGTAGCAGTAAGCAGCCTTAAGCAGCCTCCCCAATCTCTCCTCTCTCATTTCTTTTAATGCTTAAGAAAGTTTAGTGGTTTCAGCATGCCTGTACAAATTGCTTCTGTCTACAAGCTCCACTATACAAACAGCATAATCTCCCGAACAGCAGCTAGGAGATACCAGAACATCTAAAACCAAAAGCATAATGGCTACTTCACAAAGCCTGCGAGCAAACCTTCACAGCACAGCTGTGTTGGGGTCAACACAATGAATTACAATAAATTTCTTTCCTTTTTAACTTCAAACTGTCATAGTCCTGCATTCCTTAGTACTGCTTAGTCATCTGCTGTACTGTTTGAGTCATAATCTTCATTTTTATCCAAGCATTCTGTTGGTTAATAGTAGTATATTCACTGCCATCACACTGAGGCTACTTCTTTATTCCTTATTTTGAGTTACTTTCATTCCTTGTTCTGAATCCAGGACAAAATGTCACACCTGCATAAACATTCTGTATTTGTAATAAGAAGCGTCCTAGGAGCCAACCAAATAAGATTCGAAAGGATTATCTGAAGATCAGTAACAACCAGGGCAGCTATTCTCTTATATCTCACCCTCACTCAGGATTCTCTGTAACTTCTGTTCAACACTAACTGCAATATAGAATCAGAAATACGGCCTCTCTCTTAACAATAAGCACCAGACACAGAGTTCTGGTCCAAATCCTGAAAACCCCAAACTGTGGAGGTATTTGGGTTTAAGGCCTCAAAAAAAATTTTTTTTTTTTTCAACAGCTGAAGTCCAGGCAGAAGTGAAAAAGACTATTCACCTCTATTCACTATAAATCGAGGCTTCTAAGCAAAGACCTATCAGTGCAAAGCAGATTTGGACACTGAAATGTACAGAACATACAGAAGAAAGGATGGATTTAGCAGTAAGCTTGCAAAGACAAAAAGCTGAAGACCCTGGAGCCACTGGTTCATTTGGCGTTGCTGACTGGGAACAGACAGGGAGTCATTTCCCTCCAATAGCTGCTTGGGTGACACAGATAACTTACTTTATAACTTACTAGCAGCAAGAACCAATAAGGCAGTTCTGTGTTCCTTTGTAGCCACAGTCCCTGAGTTTGTGAAGTGGTGCTAAATGGCCTGGCAATCATGAGAATGAACAGCAGGCAGGGGAGGGATGTTCCCACTTACTTGTCAAGAACGGGATGACCAGATACAGAATCGTCTTTAAAAATAAAAGGGTACATTAGTTTTCCCCTGCTTCCCCATAGAAGAATACTTGTGTACAAGCAGTTATTAAACCAAGCTGAAATGCTCCTTTTCAGAGTACAGGAGTCCTCCATCCAGCCCCATGTCTCATCTCCAGCTTTTGGGGGAGGGGGAGAGTCAGAGCTTTGAGCCACATGGCAGAAGCGCCAGCCCTGCGGGGTATGCATAGCCTCCATCCCCGGGGGCTGGCTTCTTCCCTTTGTAGAACAGGGATGGTTTTTACTATCATGAGATATTGTGATGAAGTATATGAAGAATTTTAAATTACTGTGCAATGGATAAAGTATGAGAATTTTAGATATCGAATTACTTCATTTCCAGTTTATGCTTTTCCCTTGGGATTATATAGTAGCCAGGTTCACTGTTGTCTTAGGAAGGATAAACGTTGGAAGATGCTTGACAGGATTTTTTTCTACAGATAAGCAGAGCTCAGGTTGGAGCCTTACATGGCCATTGCCTGTTAATGTGACTTCCTTCCTTGAAAGTGGTTTTTAAGTCTGGGTGGAGAAAGGTTCCTGCAAGCATCTTGTCTGCTGTATTTGGAACAGCCTGAGTACATGCTCTAGCCAGAGAACAACAGTTCTTTGGAAAATTATAAAGGTGTCTCTCACAGGTCTCCTTTATTATTTCTATGGTCCTTTTTTTCTGCTTAATAACCCAGAAGGGTTGGAAGCAGGGGCAATGGTAGGCAGCTGTGTGACCATACTGAGAAAGAACAGTTTGTTTTAGGAAGACACCGTTTGCATTATGTCAGGTTACTCCATTGGGCACACTGCACACTCTTAAAAAATTTCAGTTAATTTCTTTTTTTCTAAGAGTAGTTGGGAAACAGCAATGTGCTCATTTTTGTCACAGGAGAGCGTGATCTGAGATTAGGTTTGTGAACGTCACCAGGTCTGCTGCATAGGGACTGACTGTGCTGATCAAACACAGCCCCATGTAGGGCCAGTTTGGCATTGCCACGTTGTTCCAGCAAGAACTGTGATCTAGAAATGCCTCCCTCGCCTTACACCAAGCTAGGGAAGCCCAGCCTATCTGACCAGTCTCTCAGGCCATTACAAGGTCCCACCAGCTCCTTCTGGTGTGACTCTACACTTGAGAAGAGTTCTTAGCACTCAGGATTTGCAGACTCAGCTCTCTCAGTGCCGTGAAGAACCAGTGAGGAAGCTCCTTGTATCATGTTGTCTGGACATACATGTTAGTCCCAAACAACCTCTGAGCGTGAAACTACCATTTTCGATCTTTATGTGGACTTGTGTGAGCAGACACTGGAACTTCTTTCCAGAACCACTACAAGCCATGGACACACCTTTGAGGAGAGTCCTACCAGCCAGCAACACAGCAAAGTGTGGTGGAGAGACCATATTCTGCCTTACAACAAATCCTGCTGTTGAGCTATAGCACTCTCAGGGGAAGAAGACCTTTAGAAAAAATAATCTTGAAACCTGTCATGTCTCTAGCCCATCTGTTTTGCCCATCATGGTAAGCAATTTATCCAGCATCTTGCCTTACTCACATCACTGGGAAAATCTCTGCTCTGCACAGAGTGATCAGTTTCTTTTTCAAGACTCAGCTTGCACCGTAAGGCTGTAAGCAAGAATGCTGGCTACTCTGACTCATTCTCTTGGAGGGATATTTTTATGATTGTCCTCCGTGGAACTACTTCTTAAAACTCTCAGTTAATGTCCTTAAATAATTTTCACAGCTTTTTGCTGAGCGATCTCAGCACAGTGGTTCTTTCCTCTGAGGTAAGAGCCTTCCCCGGGTTATGGGGAATATAACTACCCTCCATCACTGCAGCCTGTGAAACCAAGCTATTGGCTGAATACCTCCTTCTTTTTCTTTACCTCAGTAAGTGGCTACAAGTCAGTGCCATTTAAAATTTAATCAATCTTGTCCTAACAGGATATACTTCTTGGATTTTAACCCATCTTCTACATAAAACAAACCACTAAATTCAGCTACAATAACTGCCTCATGACAGAACCTTTGTCTGAAGAACCTCTTAATGAGCTCTTGTTATCACAAATTGCCCCTGAATATCTATAATATCTTCTGTAGCTCCACACATCTCACCGCTTCCTGTCTCCTGCTTTCTTTACAATCCATTAGCATCCCTTAGCAGCCTCATTTGAACAATTAAATTTTACTGTTTCTAGAAATGCACAAGGAACCCCAGGTTCTACTATTAGGTCTGTGTCTTTGGGAGCCCTGGGAAGGGATTCACATGGTCCAACTTAACAGAGCTCAGACACATCCTACAGCTCATGATCCTCAGAAGAAGATTTTGTGCAGATTGTTGGCCTGATGTGACTGATAACTTCACTAGTCTCTGAATAACCCTCTTGGAGGTCCTCCACAAAGGTCCTTAAACTAAATGTCTGATGTTAGACAGGAAGAATCTACATCCTTTCCTCACAGCCCAGTTTCAAGTCTCCCTGGCTAACCTCTGCACACAACTTTGCCTTCTCTCCAGAGCTGACCTGCTGGCAGCCTTTTGTTGTGCTTGTTTATGTTCAACATTAACGGCTCAAACTGCCGCAAGTGAGCTCGGTGTTCTCATTCACATCCCTGATAATAAGATCTCATTTACCTGTGTTTCAACTACAAGCAGACGAACTCAAACTCATTAAGCCATTACAGGGTTTTGTTGAAAGTGTTCTCATGGATTAAAGGCTTGAGTGGCTCCAGAAGATGCTGACCCCTTGCAGAGGGTAAGTCCATGGCCTCCATCCCTACTGAACTTAACTCTAAAAGTAATTGTGTGGTGTGATGCGAACTGTGTTTCCGGAGCTTGTCTGGTGTTTAAAGGCCCCTGAGAACAAACATATCAGAGATCTTACAGCTACAGAGAGCTTGTGCCTGAACACTAATGGGTACATTGGCAAGCGTGTGTAACTTCAGCATTTTTTACTCTTTCCTAAAGATGTAGAATCTTTTCTTTTGACATTCTGATAGATCAGCAGATTCTCATTCTACATTATATTCCAGGCATGCAGATGAGAGATGATTAATGTCTATGAAAGTAAAAAGACTGCACATATATTTCTTATGTCTTTACTGTGGTGACTGCATTTTATCTTGTAGGGTGACATCCAGAAACGGGAAACTGTGGCTCTATTCAAGTCAATTGTAAAACCTCCAGTGACAAAAGTAGCTCATTCATAAAGCTCTAAACACAACTTACAGTTTTCTGTAACTTCAGTTAATGAAATGCACACAGGGGGAGCCAGACAGAAGAAAATCTCAACTCCACCGTCCATCTGTTCAGAAATCTCTTCATTTTGCTGAAGGTCCATGCAGGTATAAAGTTTTTTTTTCTTATATCACATGGCAGAAATGGAGCCTGTTCCTTTCTGGGTGCAGGCTGTCATACTTTTCCTCACCAACCTCAAACCTACGATGGAATCAGATCTTTATTTACTTGTTTTGTGGTTTGTTTAGGGTTTTTTTCCATAACCTTAACCATAAATGAAGATTCCTTGCCTTGCTGCCCTTCCTGTATCCCCCAAAGTGAATTTCACCTGACAGACGTTCTGTTCAGCAAGGACTGAATCACTTGCTAAAAACTGGCCAAATTACGCTGGGCCTGAGCCACCAAAATGCTTGAAGTTGGTTATTTTCTGGCCATCTTTCATGGTTTTGCTAAATTTCGCAAGTCACGGGGGTGAGGAGATGACAAATCGAGCCCAGATCAGAGGAAATGCCCTTGCAGGCCCGACGCCACTTGCTGCGGGAGCTCCGCGGCTCGGGAGGTGAGAGTCTGCCAGCACAGCGCAGTGCTCCCCGGGGGTGATGCGAACCCAGCTGAAATCCTTTAACTGAAAGCAGAAACTGTGGGAGAGCCCGGGACAGCCCGAGGCCTCGGGCGGGCT